CCCCAAAACCCCAAAACCCCAAAACCCCAAAACCCCTATTTGATAAGAAATAATATTTATTTTCCAATACACTTGTTAATGTCGACTAATTACAGAGAGAAAGGCAGGGAGAGTACTCCGAATATGAGTAATTCTAGAGCTTATATTAAATACAAGCCTAAGTTAAGCATGTTCAAAAATGTCCTAGCAACAAATTACTCTTTAAAATAAGGAAGTAAGATAAAAATTTTCAAAGGATAATTTTGTAGAAATTAGGCAAACCTGATTTATTTGCACTCGATCCTTTGAAAATGAGCCGTGACTCAGAGATTGTAGAGCATGATAAGGTACATTTTCAGAGCTGAAGTTTAGGAAGATGATCTGCAAGACTTCCACAAGAGTAACACTGCCATAATTCCATTAGTCACAGACAATCTGGAGGGTAGTTCTAAGAATTTAACCTATAGCATCTTATAAGAAAGAACCTAATCGTGATTATACTTCAAAATCTAAATAAGTCCCTAAGAAATGCTGATTTTAAGAGAAGAAGTATAGCTGCAAGTCCATTTTTCAAGAATTCTCAAATGCAATCCTTTAGAAATCGGAAGGTAAGACTACCTATTTAACCTCTAGGAGAGGAACCATACTCACTCCTCTTCAAATGGGAAAGCCTGGAAGAACTCTACTCAGAAATTGAAGGTAAAGTATACAACTGATTGAGTTTCAGGTTTTGAATGACAAGCGAAATTTCACGCGTCCAAATACCCGTGCTTACAGAAACATTGCAAGCAAGGAGAAGAGGAAAATACATCAGTGGTCTCAGAACAAGACTGAACTGACAGATAAGAATATTGACACTGAGAAATCCCAGATCATCAACCTTGAAAGTCAAGGATTCTCTGCTGATGCCGGAACTCAGGTTTTAGGTTAGATTTCAGCTCTGACATTTTAGGCTTTGATGTTTCAAAAACTCAAGAGTTTACAACAAACCCACAGATTTGTCATAGGAAATCAAAGACAGGGTATAGCATACAAAGGCCACATATTGACACCTCCAAATTGGCAGAGCCAGAGTTTTCTAAGAAGGAAGACAACCGATCATGTGTTGCTTGAGAGAAGAAGTCCCAAGATCGTCTCTTCTCAGCAGCTGTAGGAGGCATCTCAAAAAGAAGCCATTTCAAGGAATCTAGCCAGAAGATGCAAGATTTCAATGTAAATCTGAGAAATATTGACAGATGGCTAGACCAGAAAGAAAGCTCCATCAGTATGTTTTCTTTATGAAATCATAGACTTTAACTCACAATTCCAAGAAGATTTTGATAACCCCATCATGAAGAATCTGAGGAAAGATATTTTTAAGAAAAGAGGCGAGTACCTGATCGATGCAGGATACCAGTTGCATAACTTGTTCTCAGGTTTACTGAAATAACGACTTAAAGCCATTTGAGACGGTTGTATTCTCCCTCGAGGAGCTTTTACACCAGATGCACAGCTCTTATGAAAGTAAGACCAAGCAGCTGGAAGTGAGGTACCAAATCGTTTGTCGTATGAACAATGAGTTTGATAAGAAGCTTAAGAAATATGAAGATGAGAAGACAAACAAGAGTGATTCCAACCTCTCCAGATTAATTACTAAGCTTGGATACGCTTATGACGAACTAGGCGAAAACTCAAAGAAAATTTCAAAATCCCGGAAGCACAAAGGCCATCGAGATTTCCTTAGAATGGAGACCATCAATCCTGAAAATAGCTCGTGCGAGGTCCTGAATGACATCCTGCATTCATTCTCTACTGCTAACATCGGAAATAGTCAGTTTGACCAAGAGACAGACCATCTAGAGAAATTTAACTTGATAAATGAGTTTACCCATACTCTTCAAGGAACTCAGGTCAAAACTGCTAAAAGCATTTTGAATCGGATCAAAAGAAAAGTCCAGTCAGTCAACACTGGAGTTCAAACCAGCGAAGACTTGATAGGTGAACTTAGTATGCATCCCATTTCATCTTTTATAGAAGAAATGATCCAACAGCTAAAGCAAGATTGTAGGAAAAAGGATCAAAAGATAAATCAGATGTAAGCCCTCACCTCTAAATTCTAGGGACGTCGAGAAGAGCAATTTGATCGAAAGAGCCAAAGAAACGCAGGAGAAAATGGAAGCTGAGAGAGCTAAAGCTATCTCAGAATCCATGAGATGTGAAGCCCTTGAAAACTCTCGGACTAAGCTATGTAAGCTATCTTTGCTAACTTCTAGCAAAAGAAATCCAACGGAATGAAGGCAGGCTCAAACATCTTGAGAGAGAAAAGGTAACCTTTTTGGGAAATTTATAGTTACTCAAAGAGAAGTTACAAGAAGAGATGAAGGAGCTTGAAGCTAAAACAAAGGAAACACGAGAGAATCTCCTCAAGAAAGACTCTGAGCTTCGAAGCTTGCTACTTAAAGTTGAAGATCCTGAATTTATCTTAACAAAATCTCAAGAGATTATGAAAAATAATCCAGAATTTTTAAAATCGGTATGTGAAGTTCTTGAAAAATCTTCGATTGGGGTAAAGATTCTCAAACAGAAAAATTCTGAGCCTGGAATAAAAGATAAAAACAGCAAAGTCTCTGACTCTTCTGCAATAAAAAGGTATTAAATTATATATAAACTTTAGTAAAACTACTAAAACCGTGATAAAAAGTTCTATGAACAACTTATCTCCAAGCGGGAATCCAAAGAAAACGAACTCTAACATTGAAGCTTCAGATACTTCAGAAAGTGTGCACAGAGATCGCCAGGACAAAGTGAGTTGTATCCAGGACCTCTGTTTGCCACCCTACTTTTCTAGCTATTTCAAACAGGCACTCTCACCACTTGGTTATTCCGTCCCTAAATTTCTGTTATGGTTCCTTCGAGAGTTACTTCTGCGTTTCTCCAGATCAATTGGAGAGAAAACTCTAAGTCGTGTTTAAAACCTACAAAATTTCATGCTAATAAAAAGCAGCCGCTGACTTCTGTTTAGGAAGACATAAAGCAGAAGTATATCCAGGCAGACAAAAATAAGAAGAATCTTGGATTTGAGTCAAAGTTCCATATCAGCGAGAATAGTGATAGTGAGAGCCATAAAGATCCCTCGAGCTCAAGATCTAAGAATGGCAGGCTTAAAGGTTAGTATCTCAATGCTATGATTCTAGGTCGCAATAGGAGTTTAAAGACTCATGATAAGTCTCCTGCAGGGCTTGATAACTCTCAGAAAATTAAAGATTCAGGAAAGCTACAATTTACGAACATTAAAGTCAAAACTCGAATGCTAAATGGAGGAAAAGCAACTCACTCAGATGCAAATCTCAGGTATGTTTTCTGTAGCGGTCTTTAATATTTTAGTAGCGATGACCCTCATGCTCTGGGTAGTCTCCAAAGTCCAACAAGAGACAAATCTGGGGCTAAGCCCTACAACATAGCTATCATTAGTAAAGTCCTCAAGAAAGGTAAGCTAAATTTGTTACTAATACTAGGAATACATGACCGTTTATTCAGGAATCCTAAAGGATCTCGTAAAAATGCGACTACTTTTGATGATAAAGGGTAAGATTTCATCGATATTTACATCTAGAATCCCTCATAGCGAGGCTTGTGGTCCTAACTGTCGACATTTACAGTTCCTGAATGAAATGCAGTCAAAGATCCCTGATGGAATGTATATTCTAAAACAGACGCAACATAATTTTGGAGCAAATCTGTAGTATTTTTAAATATTTCTGGGCAAACTTTTAATCAAATCTGAATATTCTTACATCGTTCTTAAGACATTCCTCACTGAGAAAACTCAACTTATCTTCACAGAAATTTAGGTTTCCTCTTAATAAACATTTAGTGCATTTTAGGTAAAGCTGAGAAAATTCCTAAGATCTTTTCTATGGAAATGACCAGAAGGGCTATAAAGGTCTTGAATGAGTTTTTATAGCAATCTTTTTATAGAATCAGGGTCTAGAATAGTACTTCCAAGCTTGATTTGCTCCTCATCAATCCACAATTTCCCACAAAGTCATCAAATTCTAGAACTAATTAATTAATTTTTGGGAGGAATTTCAATTTTGATTATACTAAAAGGGGTTTTGGGGTTTTGGGGTTTTGGGGTTTTGGGG